CAGAATTGATAAACAAAAGCATAATAATTTCATAGATAATTAGAATTGATATTGTATTTTAATCCATTATATTGGTGGATGTTGGTTTGTGTTAGATGTTTTGTTTCAAGATAATGAAAAGTATTTCATGAAAATGTTTAGATGTTTTGGTTAAAGAAAATATTTTAAAATTCAAAAATATTATTTATAGTGGACTATTAAGTTATGAAAATAATTTTATTTCTTAAATTTAATTATTTTGTGTGATAACATTTATTAGAAGTATTTTAAAAATTAATTTGGTAGTTCTTTCGTTATTTGTTTTAATTTAAATCATAAATTATAGTATTAACACAAAACATGGAGTTTTTGGTCATTTTACATCAAATGCATCTAGATACAAAGACAAAAACACCAAACGAACATAACTGCATCCAACTATAATTTCTGGACGCATTAACCAAACACACAAACGAACATCTTCTAGATGCTGCGTCTAGATGTTGCGTCTAGAAACACAAATGAACAGCATCCAAGTTGTTATTGTTATTTATTTACTCATTATTGTGGAACTAGATCAATAAATAAATTTGTTTTGGTGAAGTGTATCGTTTTATGCCATCTTTGACATTGCTTTTCTTTGTTATGCTAATGTAGTGGTGCTGGAGCTCACTTGTTTAGATTCTTCTCAACATTTATCCTCACTACTCAGCTTGCTTTCTGTTGAGGAATTTCTTGTCTTTCCAAGTTGAGCAAAATATGGAGTGGATGAGATGTACAGAGACAACAGTCCATTGAGTTTACTCTGCAAATTATGATTGCACATAAAGTTTCACAAGTATTTATCAAAAAAAAAAAAGTTTCACAAGTCGTTAACACAGACATATACTTTAAATACCAAAAATTGTAATTGTGGTTTAAAATAAAAAACGTTTGTTCTTATTTAAATACCAAACTCCGATTATTACATTAGTAAATTTATAATATCACTAGATGAAGAACCCGCATATATGCGAATTTTGTAATTTAATATCTTATAAACTTGTGAAAAAATAAAATATTTAATTGTACAAAACAAAATTAAATTACTTGTTAAAGTAAATAAATTAAAAGAGAAAACGTTATTGTAAACCCACTGGCTGAGAAACATATCATTTATTTATTAATTTTGATGCTTTTGTTATTTGATTTAAAATTAAATTTTATCACATATTTTCAAATCATTAGTTTTTCTTATTCATATTAAAATTAAATTAGGTGAATTTTTTTTTCCTATTTTACTACTCAAATTTCTATTTCTCAAAATGTTGATAAATTTATTTCAGTATTTATATTTGAACAATTTTTACTTTCTAAATATTTTATAACTCCTGAAAAACAAATCAAATACGAAAAAACGAAAGACAAAATTAGGTCAACCCACGAAGAGATAAAATAAAATTGAGAATATTTTGACAAAATTACTTATAGAGAAATGTGTCAAATATCTATCTATTTTTTATTTTCATACTTATTTCTTATATTATTTGCTATTCAATTAAATTATTTCATAGATTTCTAAATAATTTAATATTCTTTAATTCTATTTAAATTACGTTTAGATTTTTCTAATCCTACTTAAATTATGTTTATTTTTTGCTATCTTATTATATGACATGTAGCTAAATCTAATT